ATCTATTCATCATTATATCATTAATTCATATCATTGATTGACTGCTTCGTTTTGGTCGCAGTGAATAATATAGCAATTGAATAACGTTGACAATAAACGCATGGTACTTGCTTGATTAAACACACATCCCACTTGAATACGCAACGACAACGCTAACAAAACTAATCATAACAACAGTAAATGTACCAGTAATAAATATAAAAGTAATGACTGCGATAGTACAAGCAACTATTAATGAAGTAATAATATTTTGAGTGCATGCAAAATGTTCAGAAAGAGGCCAAATACCGTTCGACTCGTACACTCGTTCAGTAAACGATTGGCGATGTGGTAAAATGCGTCCTTGTTTCATATATGTATCACATATCCCTGTTCCATTTTAAAACGCTTATCACGGCAAAATTATTTTGAAAGTATGATCATATAGATAATAATAATTTTAAAAATTTCACGCTAGCAAAACTGAAGAAAATATACAGAAAAAATATACGCTTTACATTGGATCTGCATCAAAAATTTGTTGCCTAATAACTTAGGACCACCCATTACGTTTCCCCATAAGCATCCTATAGGCGGAAACGTCTCGCAGGCTGTACGTGCACTTGAAATAATGTTGGCCAACTAGTAATAGTAATACAAGAACGATAGCAGTAATCATAATAATGATGGCAATGATAATTTTTAAAAAATAAGTCATTATCATTTGAAAAGTTGTTGTGAAAACAACAAAAAGAGTCCACATATTTATAGAATACCTTTGGTACAAACAGACAAAACTGAACGACAATACTTACTTACATAGGTACACGAACAATACATTAATTGACAAAATCCACTCAAAAAATACGGAAACAACAAAATTACACACTTTGAGAATACTGAAACACAGTACCTAGAAACGTCCTACACGTCATTCAAATGTATAAATAAACGAATGGATAGGAAAACAAAATAACAACGAAGATTGACAAAAACAAATAATATCGATGTTGTGATCGAAATATATTGCAATTTCCTTGAAAGTAACAATTTTTGGGCGACGTTCCAGTGATTTTGATCAAAATAAGTTGAAATATACGAGGAAAACAAATATTTTTTTTAAATAATGCAAAGCCTAGAAGCTGTTTGTTGTGTTAAGTTATTGTTGTACGGTAGATAAGCAGTAGTTAATCACATAAAAGTACAGCAGTTCAAGTGAATAAACGAACAATAATAATAACAATAATAGTAATAATAATAGTAATAATAGTAATAATAATAATAGTAATAGTAATAATAATAATAATAATAATACTAATAATAATAATAACAATAATAATAATAATAATAATACGATTGATCCCGTTTCATTGAAGAAAGAGTCGAAAAAGAGCACCACCAGTCACGTGAAAATATTTGATAAATATCATGCTTTCCTAAGCACAAATAAGCTATAAAGTAAGAATATTTAAATGACAATATAACAAAACAACAACTTTCTCATACAACACAAACGAAAGTAATTGTCATGTGATTTGATTCAGGCGTAGGAATTTGTCTGTTTGATGAAGAAAACGTCGGAGAGGAGATGACGAGTAGATTATGTTGCTGAAGGAGTCGAAAACGGCTAGTTTAGAAGCATTAATTTAACGATGGAATCGGTGTTTATTTAAGGTTATTTTGAACAGTCTCAGCAACAGTAGCAGCAGCCTATGACGCAATGCTTATCTCTGAAACCAGTTGAAATCAATTAGAAAATTACTGTTCGAATAGTTGTTTATTATAAAATATTGCATGTCTTTCATAAATTCATTACAATTTCCCTAAAAGATGACAAAAATTCAAAATAACTGCAAAACGATAAGTAAAATATGAATGAAATATTTTAACGTACTAGATTAAGTATTTGCAAAATCTCACTTACGATGGAAAAAATGAACGGATGAATGGACGAAGAGAAGGAATAAAGTTGATGATTTGGTATATCGCACCGCATGAATATAATAATAATGAGAATAAATAATTACAATGGTATAACGCACTAAGAGTAATGATGATAATAATAATTTATACAGAGGACATTCGAGAATCACAATATGCAACTTGAACAGCCGATTCGTAATCGAGTGGACACTAAAATAATAAAACCGTTGAATTACAAACATATCGTTAAATGGCACAAGATATGAAAATAATTTATCAAAACCGATTTCGTGGCCAACTAAAATTCTTTGCCTTCAAGTGCCTAAGTTTAAAAAATTTGAACATCGCTTGCTTGCATACGAATTCCGTCGGAAAATGCTTCATTTTGTTGCTCGTGGGTGAGCCTATTGGATTTATAAGTAGTGAACATATAAAAGTTCGGTCCGGTTTGATTCAGGAAAGTAATTGCAAGAAGTACAAACGAACAGTGACAGTTAGTGTAATGATGTCCACAAAAGCCCCAAATGAAAAAATCACACCGAAGCCGCACAAGAAGTTAGCGATAATATTGCCGTTAATTTTTCAATTGATTGGTGGGTAAACATTATTTATAGGTCGCCATAGAATTATTATATGAAACTATGACGATGATTTCATACCACGAAGAAGTTGTTGGTACTTAATGATAAGAGCAACCGAAAAATTGTTGCACTTGTTATTGTTGTTGAGATCATTGGACTAATTATAAGCAGTAGTCGTATAAGAAGCAGCAGCAGCAGCAGCAGTTAATGCAGTAAGAAGTGATTAATAATAATCAACCATGTAGCAAATAAGAAAGCGTTCAATTAAGTATTACACGATATTATTATTATGTGTTAGATGATGGGATAATGCTTCCCGGACCTCAAAAAGTGAGTTGTGGTGAGTGGTGTAAGAAATAGGAGATGATTTGATTAGGAGATTAGGTGTGGTGCTGATGTAGTAGTCTCAAACGACAGCCTCTTTGCTCAGATAGAACTGATAAGCGGATTCAGTCCTACTTTCACAGCGCATTACCTCAGCTGGTTGCCCGGCGGATGGCGGTGCATACAGCGGACGTGGTATCTCTTCGGCATACGTCATTTGACGAACATTCAAACTGAAACAATAATCATTTCCAGTCACTTATTTATTCATGCACTCACATATCCATTTGAAAATCTCATTTCGAATATCATCTCAGAATCACTTTGAAACAAGAACTGTCATCATCTCGTATCAATCGTTTCTTTTTCAATTCACAACACTCGGCAAAATTTATTCTTTTCTAATTTTTGATTATGAACTAGTTAATTAGATGAACACAACGTATTGAAGTGCGCAACGATGAAAACATAACTGATGACGAACACATCACTGGAATCGATGAAGAAAACTTAAATATTTTAATATGATGAACAGCAGTTGCAAATCACAAATAATATAAAATAAGAAAACACACAATCAAAACAAAAGAATAACTAATTACTTCGATTTTCGCTTATCATCGTATGGCGACGACGTGGATTTCACTTCTGAAAATTAACGAATAATTTTTGTTTTCCATGAACATAACAGCATAAAAATTTTCACGTTACATATAAAGCAGAAGGAAGTTTTTCCAAAGTCAATTTTTCTTGAATGGTTAACTTCATCAGGTTACATCACAGTCAGTCTTTAAGCTCAGTGACTGCAATTTTAACATCTCACAGAGCTGGGTCGGTAATTTTTGAGCATCACGACTTAGGTTGTGGAAATTTTCCGACTTGGAAAAACCTTAGCGATCCTCTAACTTTTGTGGTAAATTATTTGATCGTCTAATTGTTGAATTTACATTCTTTATACGACGTGAAGTTGATCGCCTACAACACTTGTAAAAACATGGAGCGATGTTTTCGGCCAAAATATCTGATTTCTGGAAAGCAGTTCTCACTCATATCTATTTGAATACGTATGCGTAGTAAGTATCAAATCGTAATCATATTGAAATACTCACTGTCGAAGCAGAATAAGTTGCGTCGCACACAAAAGATGACGATAACTGACGCAACAAGACCGAATGCGAGCACTAGAATCAACGCAACCACCCAACCCGAGACTGAACTCGACGTTGACGTACCCTCGCCGAGTAACGCTCCTAATGGTACCGATATACTGAAATTGCGCATCTTATTAATTGTTTATATGCGTTCATTTCGCCCTCTTTTGTCATATAAGTTTCACGACTAAACACTGATTAAAATGTGACCTCACGACATCATTTTGTTACGTGACCACATCTACGAAAAGATAAGCACAACTGCTTCAGAATAGGGCAATCTCTATGCACTGAACACATGAACGCAATAAACTTCAGTAGGAAATGCGAAAATGATATCGCTAGTCCGCATAAAACCTAGTTGTTGAGCAGAACGGTATTTGCATGACACAATAATTATGACAGGCTTAATGATATAAGATTAAATAATAATCAAAACGGTGATAACAACATTAAGGACGTACTGTTTACTACCGTAAGTATTCTGCACTTTCAAGACAATCTGACGGCTCTGATCATCTTCCGTGATCGATGAAATATGCAAACGTGCCAGAAAGCAATTTGGTAGTGTGTTATTTTGGGTAGTACCTTCGAATCGAAAATTTTGCCATGTTTGTCCAATTTGTAGTTCATTTTGATCGACCGCAAAGATGACGTCTCGTGGTGGTTTCGGTGTCGGTTCAGCACAGTAATGAACCGTCACAGTTGCACTCTCACCGTTCAGTGCCTTCAATAAGAGAGTCACTAGGGAGTAATGAAAAATCATTGATCTAACGATGAAAATAATAACGAAGCAAGAATAATCGTTTCAGTCACATCATTTCTATTAAATTCATATTATCCTTCAGATCACAAAACAGTAAACATTTTCGATCGAACAGAGCGGTTTTAGAGGGTTGAAATGTTGAAAGAACAACTTGAAAATAAATGAATGAATTTGAAGATGCATCAGTGAATCGACTCAATCAGATCTAAGCAAGGAACACTCCGCAGAAAACAACTACAGCCGTCCAATGAATAATCTGCTGCTACCTTCTCAACACTCGGTGCAGCATCTGATTGCATCGGCGGTCCTTGCACTTGAACGCTTAGCACACTTGGTCCAGGCGTCTCCAACGATGGTGAGCATTCGGGAATACCTTGGGAAACATACGAACACGCTGAACACCAGTACTGTCCAGAGAATGAGTAGTTCGCGATACGTAGAGAACAAACCGCATTAAGACGCTGAATCAGACAAGAAATTAAGATCGTCACAACTCATTCCTTCCTTCAAGCAACAAGTGCAGCCCTCAGTTATAGACAATTGCACTTCATCTTGACCATTTCCCAAAGCCTCGATTATCGATTACCGACAGTCGTGATTGTCTTTCAAATAACGTAACTCAAAAAGGATCACGTGAAAAATGTCCAGAAATTACGAACTACAGTTGTACACGAAGTGGAGCTAAGCGCTGACAATTCAAAGTGTCTGAAGTGACCCGAGAATGAGATGAATTCCAACCGACCATTCTGACCCCTCAGAGGCGAGGTATTCCGGATCAATGACCTCGAAATGTCAAAGAAAGTTTTCCAATACCAAACAGCAGATCATTGATCTTGAACACTTGCTTATAGAACCAGGATGAAGTCATTAGCCAGCTAGAACTTACCTCACCCTCGGGTGACTTCTGGCAACTCGAAATGTCAACACTTCACCGCCAACTTACCTAAAGCCACACTTCATTTGTCGACGCTATTCCAGCTAAGGAATTTTTCGTTGACACTTTCTCGTAGTTCCACTTGACAATTATGCTAGCCCTCCAAAAATGCTTATGCCTAATTAAAATGGCTATCTTCTAACTACTGTTCTATACACAAGTATATGATCGAATAAACAAAAGCAATTCACAATTCAGTGAGACAGATGAACAAAAAGGGCGTTGTATGCCTCTTAGGAATGTATGCTTTGAATCAAGCATAAGTGAGCGACTGCTCGTTTTAAGCACAATAAACTGGAAATTAATGAGTGGGTTAAGGTGATATGACGACGTACAACCAGGTTGTTTGCGAGTGGTTGTTGTGAGGTGCGTTGATCAAGAGGTACTTCCTGATATTGACCATCAAAACCTTGCGCACACGCCGCATCAACAACTTGTCCGTTACTTTTGCTCAACTTCCAAAACACCAATGGTCTTGGGCTACCTTCCACTTGACAGCCCAAATTTATTTGCTGATTCATATCAATACGATTTCCAGCTTGGAATGGTGCAGCATTTTGCATCGTTTGAAAATTATCCTGTATAAGACGTGCAGCAGCTGAAAAATTCATTTCCATTTAGTTTCAAGAACACAATTAACTAGCGATAAAAACAAAAATTTTTTTAATGCTATTGTGATTATTATAAGATTATTATTATTATTATTGCTGGTATTAATCGAAAACGTACAATAAGGATCAATTTGGACGGCTTGTGAGGTCGGCATTTCGTTATCCGAGAAAAGGCCATTATTTGCGGAACATTGAATTGATTGACCGATCATTTCCGTACCAATCGTTATGTCAGCTCCATTACCACTAAAAAAATCACGCACTTTTGCAATTGACCATATAAATTTTCATTACGAATTGTAAACGCAACCACGCAGTTAGCTACCTTTTGGTTGCTCCTTCAATCAAAAGTATTTTTTCAATTTCCATACCAATCAAGCGACAACAATTTCAGTATTGAATTCAGTGGTTGAATATTTTTCATGAATCTTATGATAAGTACATCAAATTTACAATCGAAGGGATGAATGATTGCATTTCAGTTCACTTCACATCACTCTCACCTCGTAACAACTCCATTTTTGAGCCACCTAAAAACAGTAGCTGGCGGATGCGACTGTACGGCACAACGAAGCGTTTTACGACGTGCACTCTGCTGGCATAACCCATCACTTCCACGTACACATTCCACATAGAAGCGATAACCCTTCAAATTCGATAAACTTGTTTCTATTACTTATGGCTTGTTTGCCTCTGATTCAGCATACAGGGGAAATTCACTTTTTAAAAAAATCAGTCAAGCGATCAATGTGCAATCGAACAGCGATCATAATCAAACTGAAAACGCACCTGATTAGCAATGAGCACCGGTCCTTGTCCAGAAGCGTCGACGACGTGCGGTTGTCGCAAGTATCGAACGTCAATAACTGCCTGCGCTGAATCGATTGTGCCACCGTTCAATGCCGCCTGACACATTATCGTTGCGCCTGTCCAATTTGTGCTTACCGCAACATTCCGTAACGCAACCGTCTATAAATAGTCCTTACAAAAATCTATCGGCAGAAAACATTTATGATCAATTGTATTTGAGCTATTGGTCGATTATGTCAATCGAAATTATGATGCATTAATCGATAAACGATCGCATATCTGTTGCCAATGAGATTTCTTTTCGTGTTATTACTTTCAGTTGATTATTAATCACGGACAATATTGCAACAGCATGAATCAAGAATTATTGGGACGTTTGATGGTGCGTTCAACACTTACAGCAGAACGCTTGAGAGATTCGGAAGGAGTCCTTCGATCAGAAAATAAGAGAAACAAAGCGGTAGAAAGAGACACTTTAAAGAGATGGATACAGGAGCGGAGGATTAGCAAGATGAGTGGGAGGTAAGGGGTCGGAGGGGGGGGGGGGGAGGGGACTGAAAAGAAAACCAGAGATAGGAGCATAAGGATCAGATGAGGCGGTCATGCGTTATCGGCGAAGCACTGTTGGAATTTATGAGGCTTAGGGTATTTATTATAGGTAGAGTGAAAGACAAACCGATGACTAATTAGAGGTGTTTGCAGGTAGGGGTCAAATACTAGCTTTGTGGCCCTACACGTTGCTACTGGATAACAGCATAAGAATTAGGCTGCTCTAATTATGATAGGTTTAGATATGAATTCCTAATTTGCATACGCATATAGCAGCCACATTGAAAATTAACCATATTGAGCGAAATGCGTAGACTGATATCTAAACTACATACAAAGTAACGGTCATTGATGTTTGCATTAAAGATGTTTAGTTTTAGTTATTTGTTGCACACAAGATACTTTATGCAAACTGAACAGCGATGTTGTTCTCTCGAGACGTGTGTATTTGTTGCAATAATATTATTGTGATGATATGATGATATACGATTATTACTAGTTGCACTGTTCATTCATTGAAAGAAGAAAAGAAAAGAACGAAAGAGAACGATTGCACTCGTACGACATACGAAAGTTTGTTCAAACAACAAGATAAGTAGCGCTGAATGAAAACCAACCGGAAATCCGGCACTTCTAGTTAAATCTTGTGCACCGCTCAACACATTCACCATATCGGTGATATTCTTCTGAAAACAATCCACACATACGAAACGCAACTGCGAAACGGGTGCTTCCGAGACGCAATATATGGTTTCCTGAAAAGATTTTTTTTGTTTTAATGTGAACTGAAAATATCTCATTAATTTTTTCGGTGTTTCTTCTGATTTTCAAAACAATCGCTTTTCAAACATAGGTGGTGTTCACCAGCAATAAAAGCAATATGATTATCAAAAACAACTGGCAACATCATCAGTAGTACGAACCTTTGTAGTGGTTCCTAACATAGTCCATACAATTTGGCTTAATTGCTGTGCGTTTGCCACTGGAAATGGCATATCTGAGATCTTTACTTGAATTCCATTTTGAGCAATTTGACCTAAAAGAGAACAGATCAGTTGCAAACGTAAAAAACTGCTACCATTATCTTGCTCGGGGCTGTATCAAAAATACTGGAAAGTAGATTGGAACAATTTTGACTGGTGCCAAATAGGTAAGTGTTTGGGGCTTAAGCGTAAGGCTACGACTAAGCGTAAACTTGAATCAAAATTAATCCGAAGTCCAATTTTGAGTTTAATCCAATGCAAACTTTTGAGTTACTCTTGGGCACTTTTCAATGAGCTTCAGTTTCCTACATCAACAAATACAAATTTTTCGGTGGTTCTGAATGTCTGTGCAATCGAATATGATAGCGATAATGACGATGTGTCATAGAAGTACTTATTTCTTCTGATGTGAATATCTCTACTGATAACAATACTGGCATAGGCGATGGACGGACGATGGATTAGACAAAACATGAAATAAGTGGCTGATCAAACTGCCAGTCGGTCGTCTCCCAAAACTCAGTAACTATAGAATTAGGATTCACTGAATGATCCAGATGGTGACTTTATCGATAATAATAATAATCTCAATATTAGAAATGATAATAATAATGCAAATGAGCACTGTATAAAAAAAACTGCACGCACCTGAGAGCGAGCGAAAAATGAGGATCAAAAATAAAATCACCGCCCTCATCGTGACGGCGTTGTGGCACTGAAATAACGACAGAAATGACGATAACATATTGAAAATTAATAACAACAATAACGGTAATAATGAAAATATACATATTCGTGTACAATCGTTCCATAAGTCACTAAATTGCATATGCAAATAGACGAATGAATAACTTAAGCCATGATGAGTTATTTAAGTTTGTAGTTATTGAAGAGTGCATGTGAAATAAAATGAAATCGAATTAAAGGTTTAGGCTTTTAGCTTCGATTGAAAGAAAGGTTTGGTAGGAGACGATGGGACATACATAAGGTAGGTAGGTTAAATGTCGTTGACGTTGTCATTGTGGTTGTCTCATCTCATTGGGACGCACGCTTGGAGGGACAACGGGCATAAAGATTCAATTATTCTACCTATTAACGAACAACGAGCGCCCTTGAGCTGCTTGCTTTTTCATTATTGTTGTACAATAGAGATAGGTAGGTATGTACGTGAAGGATGGAGATAATAAAAGAAGCAAAGACATAAACAGGTAAGATTGACAGGTAAACGATATTATATGAACAGAGGGAGATTTATTTATTAGACGATCGGATTTGGGCATGGGGAGGTTTCGATCAAAAGGTAGATAGATGAGGATAGGATAACAAGAGAGAATATATCTGAGAGCAGTAAGGAAGAAGACATTTGAAAGAGACATCACAGTAGCAGCTAAACAATGGTCATTTGCCCAAATAATGACCAGTGGTCACTCTTCACTACCAGTGCTCACTAATAATCGATCCTTCTTACTTGCTACTCTATAGGAACAGTGATAATAATAATGATCAGAGTTATAATACTAATTATAGTGAATATTATAGTCATTATTGTTGATGGAAGAACAATTACTGAAGAATCAATCGACACACAAAAATGGTGGTAGCTGATTTTAGTCAACTTAAGTAAACTGAAGTCATTCGCCCTTACATGTTAGCGCATACGTACATAAGTGGCTACATCCTTCTGTTTTGTACAGATCGATCGAGACTTTAACATATCACATGAATTAAATCAATGCTCACAACAAGCATGATCACAGAATTAGGAACAACGCTTTGATCGAATCGTATTGATTGCCGCATGCAAATATTCAAAAAATTTCCAGCATGGACGGCTATACACGACTTCATATCCGCGTTTGGGTCAACTTCTTAGTTCTTGCAAACGATTTATGGCACGTCGTTTCAAAACCAATAAACAGAACACTGAACAAGCAACATTTTGTGCCGGTGGAATAAGATAACTCACTGAGCTCACAATTAGGTGGGATGTAATGAGAGCAGCAACAAGCATCAGCATTTGTGCGTTTAGATGTTCAAGGTTTACGATAGCGGTAAGCAAACACCATCAGTCCTACAATCTTCGCAAAAAACCCAAATACCATATAACGATATATTTTCAACATTTTCAGTACGATCAACTTGCGAAACGTACGATTTTCATAAGATCCATTACATGGAGACCTAGGTAATAACATTCACTGAACAACGAACGTGTAAAATAATTAACAGAAAAGCACTCAAGTGAAACATTTTTACTCAATTATGTTTCAGTTGCATTATGTTCGTTACGAGTGCCCACTCGCGTGACCTTTTAAGCAGTTCAGATTGAAGCATCTGATAGTGGCATACAGTATGAAGAATGAAGTATGACTTACAATGGCAATGATAATAATGAATGATAAAATATGCAAAATCATGATATCATATCAAGAATCACCAAATCATAAAGTTACCCGAGAACGAAAAAAACACCTGATTAATCGTTGCCATTTGCTGAAAAATAGCAGAAAAAAGAGAAGGTGAAATATTACTTGAGACTGATAATGATTCACGTGAAAATTGCTAAAGATTCCTCAAATAGACTCATTATTATACTAATTGTCAAATCAAAATTCATCAGCATGTGTTTGCGTTATGTTGACATCATCTTTTGTGTGAAACTACGGAGTTTAAGTGATCGCTTGGCGTAGCCAATAAAACGTCATTATTCGCCCACTTCATTTATCACTGCTGCTGAAGCAAAATTTTGATTAAATCATTTATACAGTTTCTTTGATAATGATGACCAATGAAAATTTATTCTTTTTTTGACAGAAACATGAATATCAATCTCTGAAGCATCTACTTTTCTTGCATATGTCACGGAAATAAACGTTGTTTTTTAATGGTTGACAACAGTTTTGCATAAACTCCTTTTGAAATTTTTTCATCAGTGCAAACATAACGCCCGATAAAACGTATACCTTCCAACAGTGACTATTCGTTTTTGTGTAATTTTCAAATGTAAATTTTCAAATTTCCATGGAAAAAAAGTAAATAAATTCAATAATTAGAACAGCGCTAATTGCGAACACATGTGTATGATACAAACGTTCACGAAGTGAACTTTGTTAACTGGGGGGTGTCGTTTAGTTAGTTCACTGATTATGTAATAATGCCGCATTTTGTTTTCCTCTTCAACCGTCCCATTCTGTTCTGGTACCTAACTTTTCAAAACTGTGCTTTTCTGTTTTGTTCCCGCGCCTCAAAATTTGAAAACTGCTCCGTATTATCCTGCTCTACCGTTTAATTTGTCTGTTCCTGTTCCCCTAGTATACTAAAATAGCATGATAACAAGTGTAATAAACGCGATTGGGAATGAGGAGTATTTTGGCAAAAGGGATGGAAAAGGGCGGATTTTGCATTGATTTGTTTCAGCCGAATAAATTCTTCCGAGCATAAACTTTTATTGGTGGTATAAACTGTGAACGATTCCTATGTCGGTCTGTTTCCAGTGTTCAGATCATGATCAAGAAATGGTTTATTCAGAATTAGAGTGACTTCCTCCAGAGAGTTTCGAAATAGTGCTTTAAAGGGATGTTTCACAGTTAGCCTAAATCATTAATGGGAATTAGCCACTACAAGCTGGATGTGATTCAGTTGTTTTTATAGTCTTCTGATCAAACTTCATTCACATTACTTCATTAATGAATTTTCAAATTCAGAATTCCAAAAGATCACCTTCATTTTGAAGTGCACTCCATTTCTGTGCTCAACACAAAAAGCTGACATTCACAAAGTTTCGTCAACAGTTTCGTGTTGTACATTGTAATCACTCAGAATATGCGCAGACAATCCATAAATGACAGTATTCACCATCTTATCTGAACGCAACTAAATGTCTTATCCCATCCCAAATCCATGCAGTTATTGTTCGCACTTGTAGCGGCCTCATACTCAAGTCATCTTAAGAAATGAAATAATTCTCAGTGAGTTATAGGAGGGAGGAATTTATTATAATGTGGGAGATTGTTATAGAATGTTTAACATACGAACGAAGAGATCTATCATGCATTTTCTTTATCTCATCATGGTCATCGTCATCGATTGCTTGTTTTGTTACGAATCATTTAATCTAGATTTCACGCAAATTTTAATCTATCTGATTGACTTTAAACGGTAACACCAATAAAAGACGATTTGCATTCGTGTTGTTATGTGTCAGATAAAATCCACCTATATACAATGTGCATTTGGAAATCAACGAACGGACGATTGAATGAGTGAAATGAAGGAGCGCTAAAAAGGGTTGAAACGCCGTTGTAATGTAATAGAGTGTATGATAACAGAAGGAAATACGAAGTGATTCCAATTTGAGCGAAAACACTGTGCAATTGGAAGAAAAGATATGAATATTTAGTGATGAATAGTATAGTATATAATACGATATCATGACAGAAATCATATAAATTTCAATGAAACGATGGCTTTCTTAAACTTTAAGACTAACCAAAAACAAGGTCACTAAGATAATCACAATTACGATTTGCAGCAACACTGCCATCCATTATCAGCGTGTTGTCATCATTCATTTTCATAATCAACAATAAATTGTACGATATTATCTACAAGTGCAATAATTTGCCTTTTATATTAGTGTCATTTAATGGATGAGTTAATTCAGTCTTACTGTTGCGGTTGAAGAAGAACGCAGCTTGCAAGTATTTATGTTTTGTTGAGAGTGATAATCAACCGTTCAATCGACAATACCTTCCTGTGAGCAATTCCATCTCCACTAATATTTCTAAAGTGGCATTTTTCAAAGAGTACCTTCTTTTAATCTAATGAAAGAATAATCCATTGATAAATTCGAATTTACTGAAGAAAACTGAAGAAGATTTACTGGAGAGAACTACGGAGAGAAGGAATTTTGTATGAAAAGTAGACTCAGCTCATTGACAGCTGACGATCTTCATGGGTAAACGATGGAACATGATGATTTCGAATGAATTTATTCTCAGAGAATATTACATCCAGTTTAATTTATCGTTTAGAAATTAATGACTTAGAAGAGACAGACGCATCACCACACATAAGTGAGCACACAACAATAAATGACGACCTAAAAAAAGCAATTTTTTGAAAATGCATTCAAAAAGTCGCTAACTGCTGGCAAGCGATTGAGTCATTGAGTAGTTCATTCATTTGATGAGAACGGCGCAAGTGCACATTCATTTTGTCACATTTTCATGCTGCAATTGAAGAGCGCTTCAAACTGCATTTGTATGCACTAGCAATATCAACGTTAGCAATTGTTCAACGGCCCTCATCTAATATTATTGGTAAAGTCAATCAATGGTTATTGACGAATGCAAATATGAAAATGCCACTATTTGTTAGATAAAATTAATTTGTTTGGCATATAATTAATCCATTCTAGGAAACAAGTCAATATCAATTAGGCTCTATTATCAGTTTATGAGAATCAGTTGGATAAAACATAGTTCGGATGCAATCAGTCACATCGAACGAAGGAGCAGTTGAAATGTTATCCATCTTTACGCATTATTTGAAATGATCACTATATGAGGCTGTGCGTTCGGTGATAATATGTTCAGAGAAGAAAACGAGAAACATGTGTTCGGAATAGAAGAATGGTGGATCACATGATAAGAATGGATTCTAATGATGAGGAAAAAACACTTGAAAATATGTGCTACGTGCTAGATTTACGGAAGAATTTCTATTTGTGATTTTATTTCATTTATAGGAATGATCAAATCATGATTAGGAGAAGGGATGAAGAGCGACAGATGAGTATTTTAGTGCCGGCACGAGATGGACGATAAAACAATGGGTGGGTTTGGAGGACAGAATAGCGATGCTGGTGAGGTACTGAATTGAAGAAGGGAGCGGGAGGTGGGAGGAGGCTATATTATGAGGTGTATAAATAGGAGAGGGGGAGGATTACGTTATGGTGGCTGAGTTTTACACAGCAGATATAACGTCGTCAGATGAATTGTCACATATACCTGTACTACAGACAACAACAACGACACGATCAACAAACACAAAAAAACCACTCGATTGATACTGCGCATGCGCATCCTTGTGCACAAAACAATACCATCTCTTCAATTCGTGTAACAAACTGATGACGGTTAAAGACTGACTTGCTCATTGTATTTGGTTGGAAAAAAATTTCTCGCCTAACTTTTCTTATTAATGATAATATCAAAACTGAGAGAAATTCTTGGAACATGACCATCTCTGAAATTTTAAATTATTCATATTATTAGAAGCTCTGAAAATGAAACGACATGTGAAAATATTATTCAATCACAATGCATATTCGAATAAGAAAGTGTGCGCGCGAACATCGTTTCGAACCCAATAGTTGCACTTAGTGCACATACATCTCTTTCATTTAAATTCTCATTTATGTTCTTATTCACTGAAAGAATTCGACGAGGAATGAGAAGCAATCAGCCATAACAGTAGCAGTAGCAACTTACGTTAAAGGTGATGATCATCAAAACGAGTTCCATTCATTCTAATATGAAGTAAGAAACATTCGATTATAAAAACTTATCTATCTACCTATCTATCTTCTACATACCTACCAATCACAATCTCTCTGTTCATCCATCTTAACAGCAATACCAGAAACAATAATAAGAATACTACTTAGAATAAATATAACAAAACGGTTTTTGAAATGATTAGCGATTAACATGAGATTATGAGATAACATCAGTTATTCAACTCCTTTCCATCCATGCATTCATTCATCCATCGCTTACTTCTCATTCAATTTAGTTGCGTTTTAATTACATCAATATATCTACCATACTCAGTTTTGGATATGCTGACGAAAAATGTTCCATGAAGCGTAGACATTGTTTTCGTTTGAATTTATGATGAACATTCAATTTCTTAGGTTTCTATCATTTGAAAAGTGGAAGTATGTTAGAATCACTTAGACTGATGACAGCCTGGAGGATGGAGGAAAAGACACCAGCGCTTCAAGAAATATCCGCTGAAAGTTCATACGATGGATAATCCAATCACATCACAACCAACACGATATTTTATAGCACATTCTGTGGTGCTACTAATGAAGCCGCTCGTTGACCAAATGACCGAGCGCATAATAGTCCTCTAAAATATTTCCCTCCCCTTGCCCGCTTGCTTATCACAAAGAACGCTCCTACTATCTAATGAGTAATGAAAATAAACGATCATGCAAACTGAGTGGTGTGCATAATCCGAGTAAACAGGACAAGCAGTATATGATATTCACACTAATACAAACGCGATATTTATAGCAGGATATTCATCATAATCAAACGTATGAGAATTGGATGAGACACTGAAAAATTAGAGTGAACATTCTTATTATTGAGCAGAGGAAAAGGAATGTGATAGCAGCACATCATCGACGCTAATTGTTTTAGAAATAACATGCTAAATGAAATTAAATGTAAACGACTTTCATCAATATGCTGATCACTTTTGATCTCTTCCAGCAGTCCCAAAATTATTCATTATTAAAGTTGATAATGATAATAATGCTTTTCTCTAGATCAGAATGAACACTTGATGAAGGAGGTGATCATAGCATTTTGCCAACAAGAAAATGCAAATGCAAAATGGAAACTCACTTCTTCTTTTCAGTATTATGCATCATAAAGACAGAGACTGAAAGTGTTATCTGGAAGAGGTGCACTGATAAAAAACATACCTTAGCAATCGTTGGAATGTACGGAACACTTAAATAGAATCGGATTTTCAAAATTGAATATTATCTCCAACCAGACAAACGAAAACAATTGTAGGGATGAATTTTCAAGTTCGATTACAATGCGAAAAGTCGAAAATTATATTAGTAACTGATTTAATGATATAACATATCATGATAAGAAGCTGATACACATGAACGCAACCGCAGTAAATGAACCGAAACATATTGAAAGTAAATATTTTTTGTAGTAAATCGATTAACTTTAGCGGTCCATTACACTGAATTTATATTGTACATCAATCAAGAGGTTAAATTGAATTTTTTTCGAGATTGGTGACAAATCAAAATCGTCTTGTCACAGAAATGCTGTTATTCGTGTGAAAGTGTATATTTTTCGTCCAGAAAGTACCTAATTTGATGATAGTAGAGGTCATATCATATTGGAGGAAATATCTGGCTGTTGTGTAGATCTATACAAGTTGCCTAAAAATAAACCATTCAACGAGTTTGCAAAATCATAAAATTTTTTTCAATGTGGTTTTTTAGTTGATAATACCTTATTATCTCAGACTCCATAATATATTAAAAATGACATTTGATGAACTTCGCAAATTCCCTCGTGTAGAGTTGGTATGACTGTGAAAAAAACACCAAAAAACTACAAAATAAACCTCAAAAAGTTCTATGGAAAACAGTTCCCCGAGTCACGAATCAGTCAATTTATATGAAAATCGAATATCTTTTCCGATTATAATTAGGATGAAACCTTAGCCATCGAAATGAAGGTTGCATTTATAGTGATAGATTATTATTATTTACGAAGTGACAGGTTTAATTATAACCCACTGATAGAGAATTTGTGTAAATGTGTGCAGATGACAATGGTGATATCCAGTGGTGAGACGAATAATGTGAAAGATATCATCTACGATTAGATTTAGATCAAACAAGACGAAGATCACAAAAATTAATATTTCCAATTGTGGGTTGGTTTTTGCATACCGCATTTATTCACTAGAAATCATCTAGTCAAATCATCATCATTGTTCATATTCAAGCAAACTCTCAAAGGTTCTAGGTGTTAGATTTCATTCAGTGTTGTTACAAGGATTTCATAAATCCTCATGCTAACTAACCTATATCAAACCTCAGTTGTTATTAATTTGATGACGTGAGATGTTGTACTTTTCAAAATTTTTACTAGTAAATTGATGAACGATACGATTAACGTTCAACATTTTTCAGAAATAATTTACTGACGGAAATTTTGAAATGCTGCTAATTAAAAAGATTAAGGTACCGTTGCCTGCATCCATCAATCACCTTCAAAAGATTATGGCAGTCTCGATGAAAAGCATCAGGTGCCTCACTCTATGCTTATTGTTTATTGTAAGTTATTGCGAAAGCTATCTGATGCCATATGTCTTACACCATTCAAATCACGATCGCGCCTATACAGGTAAATTATGTTTAATTGAATTAATCAAAGCAGTTTACACTTTGAATTTAAAAAATTTTTATGATAAAAAATACTGTTCATAAGCAATGAAGTGCATGCCGCATCAGGTGAAGTATTTGAAGGTGGAAAGATTTTCCCACCTGAATGGTTGTTCATTGACCATTGGTAAATTGCACTTGACAACTCTCTAGACTGTTTAACTATTTCCACTGATCATTTGACGTCAGTTTATATGAGAGTATGAATAGTATGAGCTACTCGAAAACGATTCGAAAAGGCATTCGTTTATTCCAGTGGATAAATTGAAAGATAAAAATAGTTAAATGGATGAGATGAAATGATGCGAACTGATTTAATCGTTATTTATTGAATAAACCTGGATAAATAAATTAGGATATGAGACTAGCGATAACGGCTTGTGAATACATATTATACGATAACTTTGTAATCAGCGACTGATTTTAGGTGATTGCAAATTAGTATGGCAACAACCAGCCGAAGAAACAGCAGCAGCAGCAGCCATGCAAAACGAAAAGAGCCCAGCAGTAGCACGATTGTCGAGATTGTCACAAATTGGAAACCAGCAAGAATTAGGTGAAAACTGGTCGATGAAGCGAGATGGGCATGAAGGACACATGTTGAAGCAACCGTTACTTCGTTTCGATATCCTATGGAAAAAATTCGCTGGATGGAAGAGGTTCAACCGTGAATAGCAGTTAATGGCTTATCACCTCATCGATACCAAATTTCAAGCAATCTGCAAAGTTTTCAAAATTAATTAACTGACATCATTTCTTGCATGTTATCAAAATTTTTAATTAAACAAAAAACACCGACCAGTTTCCATTTGATTGTTTCAGTTGTCATTCATCTAATAGGATATTTTCGATTGCATGTACCACTTTCATTTTATCTTTGTTTGTTAACACTATTACTACTGATGTCCAATCTAACATCAATATAATAACAATGTCATCAATATTGTCAACATTCCTTTATGTAAGCCTAGTATTGCATCTGAAAATTTTTCTTGACAGGTCCTATGATCCGAAGTCTAAATACATACAACCTTGTCACATGGGGCCTGTGCTCACATGCTCTGCTCGCTTTCCACTCAGTTATTGTGTGACATCTATCACACATTTTTACAGTTCACATCACTCGGTGAACATCACACAATAACCGAGTGAAACGTCATATGCGACAAAGTCATATGATGAGACGTGTGACAAAAAATTTAGTACCTTACAACAAGAACTGAACAGGTGAATGAGCATTTTCCAGAACGATTTACACTGAAACTTGGAATCATTGCACGATTAATTGTTTAGACAGTGAAAGTGGATGGATAAAGCTTGCTTGCTATGTCGATGATGCAGCGTTCGTTTTAAACTGATAACGATACATGGAACTTTGTGATTATTCACTGCCTGGTTCGGTCTCAAAATGATCTTTCAAAAACTTTTCCATATTGTTTATTCGTTCTTTCTTCATACAACAACCACGAGAATACGTAATACAATTAATTCGAATTAGCATGATTAAGAAAATGCCTTTTTTTGCAAATTTTCGGAATCATTGTCCATTTGATTAGATGAAATGAACGATAAAAATAGCTCGAAAAAGATCGACCTAAAAAGAAACGGAGAAAGAAACAAGTACAGAAGCAAAAACGAAATATCTACGTATCGTATAAAACGAAAGGAGTAACGAACTGTCCAATCAATCAAAAAATTAAACAAAACCCGCAAGCAAATACTGATGGGATGTATGCTTTTCGGTTGAAAGCAATATCAGAACCACTGAAGATTCGCATGATTCTGCTACATGCATTAAATTATATTATATAACGATAACAATAAAGTATGTATAGGCAATGCGCAATAATTACAGCTTACAATAGTACAAAGCATTGTTTAATAATGATCAATTTATACAGTAGTATTTCTTACAATAAGAAAGAACAAAATTGGAATGTTCAGAATCGATTGAAGAGCATACAATATAGTATGATGATGTTGATTAATGATGCACCGAAATGATAAAAAAATTATTAAGCTGCAAAATTAAATTTAGTTCTTAATCTTTTCTTTGAAATTTTTCAAGTTTTTGAGTTGTTCTTAAATGAAGCTGTATCTATTGGAATCAGACGCTGCTGCAGCACTCCTCTATGAAAGTTTTCTTCTAGTTTAAGAAGATTCTCATCTAATTTTGCTGCAAATGAAGAGTTGATCGTCAAGCAAAACGATGATTTGAAAACAATTACATCAATAAATATCACATAGTACGAGTAAACGATTTACATATTTATGTACAACAAATATCTATGATACAGAGCAAAATTGTGACATTTTTGAGCTGCTTTATGTGGAGCGAATAATTGAAGTTGTAACTGCTGAATGACAGATGATTATTCATTGCGCTGTGAAAGTGTCGCTACCATCCATTTAGCTGGGCTCGGTTAGCTCGAAGGAAGATCATTTCATTGCAACTCAGTAAGATCTGACCATGGATCATAATAAGCGTTGTGCTGATAACAAACGTTGATCGATGGCTGATTACGATTGATCATATGTGACCAAAGAAGCGGTAGAAGAAAGAAGCAAACGGTCATCAGAAGGCCAGTAGCACGTGAAGCGATTGTTGCAGCTGAATCATTGCACAATAACTTGGCATTCAACGCCGCTGCTGCTGCTGCTGCTGCAGAAGTCCTTGCGTCTTTCGCTCCTCGAATTACTTCCTTCATCTGCGTTCTCGTCTGAAGAAACAAATTTTGATTGCTTTCAAACAGAACCAAATTCGATTACTCGAACGAACTGCGATTAGCAATAAAGCTTCAATCGATATTCAGATATATGTTAGATCAGTGGTTCACACTCCATTACCCCCTTCGACGGTACGGCATGCCGTCATTACACCTCCAAGCCCCTCGCGCCACAACAATTTACTATTTACACGCATAACGTCACGAACAAATGGAATTCTTCAGTAGTTTCGAAGGGATTAATTTTCTTGGATGAACCAAGTATTTACGGAGATTTTTCTGTGTTTCTGGTAACAATCCGTCGTTACTTCCAGCATTCACAACTACTGAGAGTCTTTCGAAATTACAAAATGGATCATCTTTGCCTTTCTTATCCAGTGCTCCAACTTACTCATGAAGACCTTCATACAGTCAATAAACCTTACTATATAAACCCAAACATTGCACACCCGCTTTTTTGAATTCATAATTATTTTTTCACTCTGAAGTACTCACAAAGGTTGAAAATAGCAACATGCCTGATTACCTAATTCATAATTATGAAAAATAATTTTCAGTGTAGAATCCCAAAGCACAACGACCACATGGTACACATCTGTCACAAACCGGATGGCAATGACACAATTGAGCAGTTATTTCGTTCAAAAATTCATTTACGAACCAAAAATCCCATTACATGAGGTAATTAAAAAAACTCATTTAAATTTTTCAGTGAAACAAAATAATAATAATAATAATAATGGATGAACTGAAAAATATCTGCTCTCCTCGCTCCAAACCAGTGATCTTTTTTAGCGCACCAAAGAGCTCAATCAATTTCTACTTCTCATAAGAGATGATGTCAGACAACACAATAAAGAACATACGAAATAACTGCGACTACTTCAAACTGACTTTTTTACAGGCCTAAAAAATATTCAAATAGGATAAAGAAGACTGTAGCTATGACTGAGTCACGTTTAGATTCCCGAGTGAAAAAAACACCATCACAATGGCACTTCATCAATACAAACAAATATTAGTTTGCCGATCGCTTCAATCACTCCACTGACACCTTCAAATTATCCATGAGAACCACTCTACTAGATGTACATGATTATGACCATCACGACTGATGATTACAACGATCACAATAATAAATGATTAATTCAACGAAACGGCAACCAACGTAAATAATCGAATTCAAATCACAATTTTTCCTTGATCATCAATCAAACTTTTACTACTGTCATTATAGACGGGCGTAAAGTTTATTTGATGTAATAATTTTAGTAATCAACCATGCTATAAAGAATCATCTAAGTGCTCACAGGAATTAACAAATGATTATGAACACACTATCGAGATCATTATTATTACGATTATTATCATTATTATTAATATTATTACCGTCATTATCACTAATATCATCACTGTTGTTGTTATTATTGCTATTAATTATTATTATCAATATTACCATTATTATTATGATATTATTGCCACTATCACAAACATTTCCGTATTTCTTTAAAACCTTGGTATTTATTGTTTTTCAGCATTCTAATATTGTTCTCTGATGACCAACTTGTTTTCATTAGAAATGAATGACATCATATCATTTCATCAACTTAAATTGAAAACAATTTATAAAACCACATCAAAATGTAATACTTCCGCATAAAATGCATACATATAACGATCGAAAAGAAGATATTCCAAAAAAGGCATATTGATTGTGACGAAATAAATACATATCCGATTAAGACTGACCACAGCAAGTTTTAGTGAATACTAAACAGACAGATTTAGTTAAAATTTCGGTTCCTTATAAGTGAATTCAGCAAGTTACCTATTAGGCTAATGAAGGAACACGTTTAAAAAATTAGCATGGTTGCGAAGCAGGCTTGCAAGAACAGCAGCCACTTTGTGATTAAGAATGAAGTGAAATTGGATTGAGGGAATAGACACTTTATATGAGTTGAGAATCGATGATAGATTTTCGAATGAAATAATAACGATGGCGATAAAGAAATGAACTGTTAAATGTTAAACGGTTGTTTGATAGTTTCAACGGACAATGAACCACCGACCTACCAACCGATCGAGCACCGTCCTTAGATGGCAAATATGATGCAACAAGCAGAAAGTAACAGTTTTGTATGCGTTGGCATAAGAAGACCTTCGAAATGACCTTCAGTGATCAACAATCAAGGGAGTCAGTCATGCATTTTTGTTACGAAAGACCATAAATAGGTCATCCGTACAGCCACTTGCTCTGCTGTCCTCTATTTTGAGAAATCAACAGTCTTCTAATTTAAGAGAAAAAGTTTTCAGAAGAAGTCAACCACCAGAGTTCGTTAAAATAACCTTTGTGTTTATGCGGACAACGAACTGTCATGTAAGAATATTATGATCAATCAGAAATGTTTCTGCAACAATCATCACTTCAATACGTTCTTATGTACAGTTTAAATAAACTGTTTACCAAACTGCTTGTTTAATTTCATCATCAGATTACTTGTGTCAGTCGAAATGAGCAATGAGGTTGTTTTTTCATATTTAAGACACCTTATGTGTCAACTCGAAGCTATGAGCATCCTTTATAACGTCCATGAACGGCGAACTTTTATTTTTCGCTTGGGGTAATTCAACAACGCGTTAATATAACGATGACACTGATCCATTTCGATGCCACAAATGTAGTTTAAAGAAACAGAAAAATATTAAGTATGGCGGTCCACAACAGCGTTTTTGACTACTTTACAGTGCATTCTTGCACAGCATGATACCAAAAACGAATGGAAAACTCTTTTGTGACCTTCAAGAATTACAACTTACGTTCCATTTAAGACTTTCATTTATTATAATAGATCGCTCAACTGGACCGCTTACGAAAAGAAGTAGTTTCATCATGGTAGCGACGTCATCTAAAAAAACTGACGTGAGAGTAATTGAGGAAACGAACATCGTCTATGTTAGGAAATGTATGCATACCAAAAGACCAATTTAAACACAAAGAGATAGATATGCCTTAATATATGCTCAATGATCACATGAGAACTGGTCAAATCAATGACGACATGCCCATTTGATAAGTTGTCAGCAACCATTTTCATCAGTGGCGTCATCTGAACGAACCGTTTGCAGAATGCCTTCATTTTTCGAACTGGTGAATGAATAAATGAATCATCACACTTGATGTCAACGAAACGAGTCAAAGACCAAACAAGAGACTTTCCTGACGGAAAATTTCGCAATTTTAACTGGCGAATCATCAACGGTAATGAAAAAGCTCATTTCTCATAAACGAAATGACGCACAGCTGGAGTAGTGGTGGCTTTGTGTTGGGCGATCAGAAAAAAAGTTTTTAGTTGATGAATTTAACGATGCGCAATAATGTGCGTGCATAATAGGTGACTGACTCCAGCACTAACTATTATTGTTATTATTATTATTATTATTATTATTATTCCGATTAGCTACAACGAACTCGATTAATAATATTTAATCAAAACAAAAAACATCACGTTGTAATGAACAACTTAATTTTACACACAACAATTTTTAGAACTGTTCGGCGAAAATCAACAAAATCTTAAACAATTTTGAAGATTGAATATAAACCTGATGTCTTAAAAGTTCCATACTCCTTTCAAAAAAAACAAATGAAATGATGAAAAAACTCGGTTCAGTAGTTGTTGCGTCGTATGCACGAGAAAATAAGTTCATGTACACCTTCACATAAAATGTAGGGAAAAATTTTTGTTCATTTGCAATAAATTGGATATACAAATTTTGATGGATAATTTCTCAGTGAAAACAGCCAAGATAGCGCAGTGGTTATTGTCTAGATGTTGCACATAACAGCCTATGATACGTTGACAAAATAAAACGTTCGTCAGATAAATTGATTGCTGGACGTATTCCATTGGGAAATGAAATGAAACGAATTATTTTTGAAATATTTTCCCAGTCCGATCGAAAACTGGTTCGATAAGAAGATCATCAAAACAAGATGGGCAGGCGATAAAAAGTTGATTGATTTTAAAGCGATCAGAGATCAATTTGCAATTTGAAACGGAATTATTGTATGTAGACTTAATGTGATGATCACCATCTGAAACAAGCAACAGCCTTCAATTGAATACTCGCTTCCAAACTGATATGGGAAATTAGTGCAGTCTTCATTAACAATGAAAATAACGACAGTAACAATAAAATAATGAATAATATTGATTACTGTCAGTGTACATGTTATGAACATTTCATTTACAATTATGAGTTATTTGAAAAACTCGCTACAATCAACACTTACTGCTAAGCAAAAAAACGAAAATGTTCGCATATGAACAGAGCTTGTGTTTGGTAAACAGATGGTCTAATTCCAGTAGCAATCGCAGCTGAAACATCAGCTCGCTCAATAATGATAATGCTAATCATTATAACCGTTTTATTAACGCGATCAGAAGTGACAAATACGTATGTGACGATGTAATAAAACGAAATAGGAACGTATATCATTTGACTACTAAGTGAAAATGACCTCGAGATAAACGGAAGATGAATGGATAAACGAACGGTCAAAGATGACATCATTTGTTGATTGATACATGATAAATGAAATAATTTATTAAGATTGCTTTCCGAAGGAACACTTTGATCAAAAACGACTGTGACTTTGAGAAGTGCTAAGAACATTCCCTTGTCCAAGAGGTTTACTTGCTACTGTGATGTTCATTGGTTCACGATTATCATAAATTGACGGCGCTTCTAAAATGATCAAAAACGTGCCAACGTTGAGTATTGAAAATATTATCAAAAACAGTCGATCCAATACCATCGCAACGAACGTCCAATCATCAGAGATCTGAAAATATCAGGTGTCTACATGGGTGAACGTAATACTATCATCAGATTTAGCTTACCTCTGTTTCATCTTCTTGATGCTTGAAATGTTCAGCGATAAAACGAACTTGTTGCAACAAATTGAATAAAACTGTATCATGCGGTGACGACGATGAAGACGTGAAACGATCTCTGGTTGTTTGCTTCGAAGTAGAGCGCTTTTGTTCAGCGGTAGAAGCAGCTGACGATGAGGATGACTTGTTTGGTCGTGATTTGAGTAGTTCGTATGAGTTGAGTCCGTATGGATTTCGTTTGAAGTCAAACGATTTGTCGTAATTCTGTGCATGATAACATCGTTGTTTTTCACTGCGTGATTGCATTCGTTTGAAGTCGCATTTCGACGTTGACGGACGACAATCGAAAGATGTGTTGTTCATCAACGTTGATTCTTCACTATGTTCGCGTTCACCGCTGCATCTCACTGCAGTCTACTTGATTACTTATAATAATAATGCTGATCAAATATGAATGGTATAAATAACTCACAACGATTTGCAACTACTGAACTTCGAATTGCACATCCACTCGATGTAAGACCAATACCAACCAAAGAGCTTGCATCTATTAGTGTGTTTACAGTAGGATCGATTTTTTGCTTCTGACGTGGTCTTGACATGAATAATACCCTATAAGTACGTGAAATTCATCGCATGAGATTTTTAGCATAATAATAATAATAATAATAATAATAATAATAATAATAATAATAAGCATGATAATAATCGTGGATAAATGATATGTTCAAAGAAAGAAGCATAAAAGTTGAACAAACTAACTTTGGCAGGAAGTTAAGGAAAATAGAACGTATCCAGGGAGACATTCGATGTACAGAACCACTTCTGAAGCGGAAGTTAACAGTGATTACAGAAACAACTGTTGAAAGTGAGACAAGGATCATTGTCGTTATTAGATATCTGCCAAACATTGGAATGACCAATGAAGTTGGTGGCATTATGTCGATTAATACCTACAATATTACATCTGAATGCACTCATTCAAATTAGTCGACAAATTTATGACGAATCAATGAAGTAATCCTGAAGTTAAATTTTGAAGTAATTTCCAGTTTGACTGAACATCAACAAGAAACGATTCAATGCATGAATGTATAATGATAAATAATTGAGGACTATTGTAAAAACGAACCAAGAAGAAAACTGTTAAAGTGACTAGAATCGAGATCGAGAATGTAATTTTATGATCGGATAAATAGAAGACGAATGTAGTTAGTATTGAGATGAGAAAACAAGGCACGATCAGATTACATGTGTAGAAGAGCGTTTTACGACGTAAAACAAAATAATAAGTTATATCAACGTATTTCTCGGGTCCACAACAGCTCGTATACAATACTGCATGTCGTGCCGATGACAATGACAGCAAATCCCATTCGGCTGACCTGAAAGCGTATGAAATTCTTATTTCAGTTTTATTTCCTCTCTCAGAGTCCACTTCCGTTCTTGTTCGTAAATGGCGTTCTTTGTGTACTCTTAAGTTGGCAAATTGTTGACCTTACCGATAAAAAAAGCTTAAGTCCATGCCAGTTTCCATGGTTTCCACATCCTGACCATAATTGTCAGTACCATTCACCACCTGATCTTAAAAAGAGAGATGATCAAATGAACTCTATAGAATTTTTTACATATATTGTTAAAATGATGCTGATTCGGATGAATAATGTATACATAACTTGGATTTCAATAATATTCATTTTCAGTAAAAATCGATGAACAGCGAACCTTTCGGTAACTGCTTAAGATCAACGGCATAACCCGTGTACGTCCAAGCACCGAATTTCATTTCACAGTTTTGTGAATCGTATGGGAACCATGTAACATCAATCTGAATATAGCAATATGTACTATTCCGATTTTCAGTTTTTTTTTCACCACCACATTGTTTGAAGAATTTGGAACAATATGGCAAAAATGGGCTAAATCGAGCATGCAGCAACACTGGAAGTGGTTTTTAGCCTGGCAGATTCAGATAATGAACTGTTTATCACAGTGAGATTCAAACGAAAGGATCACACCTCTCGCTGAAATGGTACCACGGAATCTTGCTCTAATATGTGCGTTTTCTTTGCCAATTACGTGGCTTTCAGGTTGGGTTCTTGCTTTGAAAAATCATTTACCGGACAAAAAGATTTGTAGATGGCAGGTGGTTGCCAAAAAACACGACCATCATAAGCCACAAGAGCATCAGTAAAAATTGTTATGTCCGGATCACCAGCTGCACTGAAATCACTAATACCTCGAGAAAGAGAGAAGTAATGAAGTTTGAAAGCTCAACGAGTGTAATGAAGCGACGAGACTTATTTCATTTTCATGAGAACGTGAAACTTCTTCAACGAGAAGAAAAATTCATTCACGAAAGTGCAAAAATGAAACAGCACACACTTATTGTACAGGACAAAATCTGGCGTCCAAATGAGTTCACTCGGAATATGAAGCGTTTTAAGACCACCATATTTAGCTGGATTCCAGGTTAGCTTAGCATCAATCCATTGCTAGAAGTAGAAGCATAACTATTTGATAACTGGATAGAAACAAAACGATAACAGTTTTTAGCTTCTTAACGAGCATTTTCAATTATCGGACGAAAGAAATTGTGTGTTTTTTCGATAGGGAGTGTGATTATGGGACGCTGATCTGTTTGAAGATATAATGTGCAATGCGATGGGAGAGTTTATTTAGATCATGGCAATCAACAATTTTGCAGTATTCGATTGACGTACCATTTCCAGCCAAAGGTTTGTTGTCAGTATTTGATTCTTTTCGTCCTAAAAACGGTTATTCTTAGTTACGAAAAGAAGAGCGATTACAAGAACAATTCACATTTCATCTTTATGTACCGTTTCTTTTTCAGATCTCGTTTAAAGACATGAAAATATACAGCATGAGAGGAAATAAGCAACATTTAAATGATGACAGTGTGAAAAATAGATTTTTGTTACTGTTGAAAAGAGATCGATCAACGACGATCGGTGCTATGGTAATGCGTAATGCTATCACGTTATTACGGTTCTACTTTGTTATTATTGTTCTGTTATCATCAATTGGGCTTATTCACGTACCACATCAATAATTCGAATCAAAGACGCTCCAACATTAACCGTAAGAATATCCGTACTATTTTTGACAGGTCGTGGTATTTTATTATAATAATACAGTAGATCTTCGTATAGTTGACTTTCAAGCTGTGCTGATCCACAAAATACTTCTTTAATCAATACTGATAGGTGAAACGCAATGAAAATGTTTGTGAATTTTTCCATCTGAAAATTTTTCACCTCATTTATTCATTGCCATTTTTTTGATGTGCTTGCTATATGTACAGCATGCATATGGTAGAAGTATTCGTAAATTTATGTTTCCTCATGGAAATAAATTTTATGCACATTATGGGTAGATATGACGCCAAAAACCACAAACAAGTTAGCTCCTCTAAAGATTAAATATAATATTATGCGGTTGTTGAGATCGCACCATAGAACAATGTCCGAGAATTATCCTGAAACATGCATGTGACTACTACTTTACTCGTGGATAAGGCAGAGTTTGACTGAGCACTCTACAATTTTCGACTTTTGCTCAACAAGTCATAATGCACGAAGAGAGTACGCATATGAAGTATGACCACCCATGCAGTGACAATTTAACACGGTTGAGCGAGGGCATCAAGCGAGTGGTATGCTTCGAATTTCTTAAGAGGTTTTTTTTTCGATGAGGATAACCTCTAAAAATGTTTTAAAATTCCCATTATTAATTTAATTCTATGGAGCAATTCATTCATCTTGAAAGCAATGGCAAAAAAATGAATATGAAATCATTTGAACTGAAAATTGTAAAACTGATCAAGCGCACATATATAGTGTATGAATTGATGATGGTTCATTTAATATCGACATTACATATCTAGTTTATGGGACATTTGCAACAATTAAAGAAAGTGAATAAATGCCATAAAAATAAACGATAAAAAGAAATGAATGAGGATTTGATATGTGTTAATGAGTGAATAAAGAGTTTTGCAAATGAATAAATTGAATGCAAACACATCGAACCATGAGCATTATCCCCATCATCTATTTATGAAAGCCGTCGTTATCGAATGAAGAATGCTGTGAAATCAAAGATGGGGAGTGAATGAAGCGAGGCGGACTGAATTGAGGAATCAATTGCGCTTTATTCAAGTGAAAAATTGCATGATGGTACATCTCTTAAAAGGAAAGAAGATGATGCTCAAAGCGATTGTTTGATGATTTGAAGAATACTTACATCTCGCTCGATTCATCAAAACTGATGCAGCAGCACCAGCAGCAGTAGCAACAGCATCGAGAATAAGTAAACAGTAGGAGCAAACGACGATTAAATGACGGATAATCCTAAGTATAGCCAGCTATAACAGTTGTCGTGTTATATGTTAGCATGCAAGAATTGAGGATCATAATATGCATGAGCATCATATAAGCTCAAATACTAGACGACGCAGAGCCTTGCTTCGCTTTTTTGGTCAACGTTCATTCAATTGTACATCGATAGTGCGCTCAGCCTAGCAATTTTATTTTCGTTATTCTTCACTATCTGTGGGCTTAGGACGATTAGACCAGTTAGCTTAGGATTACTCACGTTATATTATACTTCTTACAAATAAATATTTGTAAGAAGTATAATATAATGAAAATTTATTGTGAGTTTATGCAATTACTTCACTGTAATATTTTTTCTTTCCCAAATGATCATTTTCATTAAAAATCAATTATATGAAAATAGATTATTGTTGTGAGGGTTCGAGGACATTTTGAATTTTTTAACGGATGCAGACGAAAAAAAAAAAGTTAGAAGAGAAGCGAAGAAGAAGAGAGAAAGGGAAGGGAGAAGAAAGTGGGAAAGAGAAGAGGAAAAGAAATGAGGGGACGAAGAAAGAAAATAAATAATAAACGTAGGAAAATCTATCCCGGAATTCTGTTAGTTTTATGGATCAGAGAGACCATTTTGCGCTCTGTTCCTTCCCCCCCCCCCCCCCCCCCCCCCCCCCCCCTCCCCCCCGACCTCCTTGAAAAAAATCCTGGCTACACCACTGAATATGTGCACAATATTTATCGATCATTAATTATTAATGCAATTACCATTAATTAGGGCAAATTCGTTTACTGATTTCTTGTGGCAGTCAATCGATCATTTTGTATGATCGTTGATTAGATGTGATGAAAAAGACTGATCGAATGATGCTAACTAATTCACCACTACTTCAAATTTTGTTAATAAATTGTTTGATGATTTGCCTTCTTCGTTATCGTGCATTGACAATATGAATAGAAAAGCGATAGCATCAAGAAAACACATATTGCTATTTCATGCATATTTCATAATTTTTAGCATAAGTTCATAGACGGCGACGCATTGATCAAGCAGTCAGCAAAACATCACTCTATATAACAATCAGTTGTTCCGTTGATGAGCATGATAACAACATCCTTTGATTATTCAGAACAAAGTTTGCCTCCCCACGACAAAAATATTAATGATTGGAATGTTCTCGTTAAGAGAAAATCATCAACTGATTGCATGATCTAGGGTTGAACAGAGATGAATAAAAGAAAAATTTGATGCTTTATGCTGAATATTCAATCGCTATCAAACTTACACCCATCCCTCCCACAAATACCCATCTCCTAATTTATTTCTTCCCCTACCAAAGAAAATCAAACATATTTTAGTAAATCTTTTCTATCGAGGAATCTCATCAATAAAAAATTCATAATGAAATGAGTTTCATCTATGAGTTGCAACGGACATGTGTATGTATTTGTATATATAAACTGTGAATTCATCTCAAAATGAACGAGTGTTATCAATTTTCATTTCATAAGACGTCCGTCTACTCGCAATTTCAGCAGGCCCATACAACAATTATTCTTCTTCGAAGATTGCGTTGTTGAATTTAAACCAGTTGAATGAAAATTCATACGATGAAAAACTTTATACGTAAAATTTAAAAAAATCACTACTACATAAAAACACAGACATCAAAGACTCGTATTGCTCAACAGAAAAAAAAGGAATTATTTCGGAGCGGAATGTTGAGTTGTTGTTATTTGTTTATCACTCTCATCACCACCTTCTTCTACCAAATTACGTCGCAAAACGAAATTGATTGTATGAACGGCATCCTGTATCGATGGATAGAAAACAGCCGCGAATGGTAGACGATCGCCGAACTGACAACGTTTTATGAATTCCAGAATTGACACTACAAATCAGTTTATGGCGAATAAGTTTGAACACTACAAATAAGTTTAAAATCATTCGTTCACAATGTTTCTTCGTTAAAAAATTTCAATCTACCGTTCAGTTCAGCTAAACTTACATTGAGTGGCGCAATAAAATAAAGTTATATCTCGTTGCTTCATCTCTTGATAAACCTGTAATAATGAAAGTGTTTTTACAATGCAATGTGCATTAATTGATGGGTGTGTTGGAAATGCAATTCAAAAAAGATTAAAACAAACTTGAAAGGAATTTTGAAATTTCATTAGAAACAGCTGGATAGTTACTGGGCAAGTAAGGAGCATAAATGAAAAAAGAGAACGGTTTATAAAATAACGATCGGTCTAGGGAAAGAATTCCATTTGCAAAAAGTGACACCGATTGCAACGAACATCTTTAAGAGCATTCGCACCCATCAAATCGATGGTTGATAGGCTTGATAAATCGACAATAATGTACTTGATCTCGGATGGACCTTTGAAACTGTCCAAAGTGAGAATCTTCTGAAAGCGAAAATAAGAAGAGTATTTCAGGCAAAATTAACTATACGTCTAGCAAAACTATACTCAATTAAGTGCAGTGCTTGCTTTATGATGCTCACTTCTGGGCATTACATCTTCTACTAAACTTAAATGTTGCACTAAATGTCGTTAACAATTGTAAAGAGACATAAAAACAAAATCAACTGTGCATATGACAATTATTAGCAAATAAAGGAACGATTATCAATCATAAATCAGTGAACACACCTCCCGATCATCATCTCGGTCAGCGTTATTCACATCCAGTCGAATGATGCCGCCGTTCTTGACTGTTGAAGAAGCGGTCGAAGCACTTCGTTTATGTGATGTTTTCAGGTGCAGAGAATGGTTAACATTCGGATTTTGATTATGTAAGACTACTTCTAAATTCGAATGGCACAATGATGATTCTAACTTGGTCGAACCGATCACGAATGATTCCGCTGAATTCGACTTTGCTCTTAAAATACAACAAAATTTGTTGTATATATAAAATATACACTGGCTAACTGCATTAACATTGAACACTCTTTTATTGATTAACCGTGTGATAATATTGCCATTGTATTCTACTTGAATACTACTTGATTTGGCATATGTTATGTAATAAGAATGGTATTTAAAGACAGCTTCTTATGATAGAATTCAGTTTTACCTTGAGTATTAATTCTACTTCAGTATATCTGAGTTGTATCAAAGCATGTCAGTTTGTTGTAATTCTAATCTCGATTGTTGCTTTTAAAAGTGATTGTAGCTTATAAAATATCTATTGTGTGCATCACAATACGTAAGAAAGTTCTATGCCCATATTCTCCTCATTCGTCCTCAAACAAACAACGACACAATTATATACCCAACTGAGATCAACTGTTGGTAAATCCTTTTAGTCAGTGGCGTAACCGAGGAGAAAGGGTAAGAAGCAGGGGGCTCTCCCCATGCCCCCATTTAGAGGATGGAAGAAACGGAAAAAGAAGAGGAAAAGCGAGAATGGAAAAGAGGAGGGAAGGGAGAAAAAGGTGAAAAAATGGAGGGAATGAAAGGAGGGGAGTAAGAAGGAAGAAAAAATGAACGTAGAAAAATCCACCTAGAAATGCAGCCATTCTTTTAGAACCTCCCTTCCCCCCCCTTCACCGGAAGCAATCCTGTCTACTCCACTGATTTTAGCGGTATCCAACTGAACTGAAATGGGGAATTAATTTGGATAAGTAAGGCATACAGATGTCGTTGTGATGGCGGTTCGAGCAGTGTGAATAGCATTCGTTTAAATCGTGTAACATTGACGAACAATAACGCTCCGCTATCATAGTGTACACAACAAACACTCTCGATGAACGACGCATCTCGATACCGCTCTAATGCACGATAGTAAGTCAGGCCTTCCGAATGACTCATACGACCTAATTTGATCATTCCTGGCCTGGAATAGATAACTGTCATTGATGCATAAGTGTACTCAGCATCGTCGTATTTATAAAATCGTGCAGCAAAACTCGTCTCGAATAGTGTATTAATGAATTTGGTGTGGCGAATCAAGCGAATGAGATAGAATGAATGACGATGAAAAATTCGGCAAAGAAAAGCACGATTAGAAGATTGTTTCACCTTTGTATCCTGAATATGATCATAAAAAGCGCAAATAAAACACCAATTGCAAGACCCTGTATGACATCGCAAAGAATTGTTGCCAGAAATGTGAATAACCAAATGCTCTGCAGAAATATGCATTTGAATAAATGGATAGGTGAATGAATGCAGAAGAATGGAATCAAAACTAAACATAGAAAGCTTAGAAATTGCAAAGTTTCAGTGGATATGCTAATGTAACAGATGAATGAAATGATTTGCGACAGAATTGAATTCGCAAGAACAGTTGCATATGATGAACCAAATAAATTACTTACGAAATCGATTTTTGACAGTCGCCATAGAGGTGATAGGTCAGAGAGTTGCATTAGCATGCTTTTTAAAGCGACTATTATGATGCAAGATAAGAAACACTGAAAAGTTTAGTCGACAGTTTACGAGAGCAAATAAATATGGTATTTCATCTGATCTACTTTCTAAGAATATTTTCAAGATATACGTATAGCATCTATGCAGGTTTGATTTCTTCCTGTTTTGTAGCGAAACCTATCGATGAAATGAACATGAAAGATCAATAACTTAGTGAGTAGTGAGAGAAGAGTTATCACAAAAGAATAATGGTGTGATCACCAGAATAAAACGTACCACTGGCAGCGGTTTCACAAAAGTACCAAGAACAAAGATAACGAGAAGCATCAAAAGTGACGAAAAAATCGTCGCCAACTGAAATTCAAGAACGGAATGACTTGTTTTGTTCAGAGGTGTACTGAACAGTCAGTCGCATTCGGATGAAAAATCTAGTGAGGAATGAGCTTAAATATAGCAGTCAACTGACCTGTGTTTTGGTGCCAGCCGCTTCATAAACCATGGAACGAGCAAGCGCCGTTGACGATGGAAAACATGGAAAAAATGATGTGACACATTCGGTTATGCCCAACGCATAGAACTCCTTAAATTGTCTTACTCAGGCTGTTTAAATCATTTTACATCTTCTTTATTTGCTCAAATGTAGCAACAAAGGATCTGACAATAAAGTTGAAGTGTCATAATATTTGCTATAAAAGTAGTATTTACCAGAAAGGTGACTGAAGAAATTATTTCAGTTTCATTATCCAACTATAAGGGAAGAATTATCAAAAAAAGCTGCACCTAATGAAGGCCGCTTTTGAATAGTTGATCAGAGAAAGGAGATTCAATACGTTCGAGATATGCTCAGACAAGGTATGAATTCACTATGTATTTGCTTCTGATGGAACGATGAATGAAGCTGTAATATCCAAATATTGCGCACCTGTCGAACGTCAATCGAATAGTCATGTTTTGCGGCAAAAACTGAACCCATAGAGACAGTAACTGCCACTACAATAACAGCTATCGCTAGTGCATCGCCGAGAACCCAAGATAGAAGGCGAACGTTAGGCGGGGACGGAGCTGGAAGCCTGCATGAAGAGAAAATGTAAATAACTTGAATTCATCAGTTTGTATCAGTCATATTTTGGTTGTTTAAGCATATATTGGAGAAGCAAGCGAACAGCACGTAAGCCTGAGCACTATCATAAAGATCACAGCTCATTTTACATGAAGCTGTTCACCGTTCCCTTGGTAAAAGTTGACAAGTGGTGTGAGTGGTATCTCGTAAGCTTACGCTGAAGTAGTATCTGGTATCTGGTATTTCGTAAGCTTAACTCACCCAAGTGGTATCTCGCCAACAACAGACATTTTGAATTTTGCCTCCATTTGCAACAAAGATGAAACGCTTGTACCAATAATGATCTTAAAAAATACATTTTCAAATACAAAAATTATCTAATAAAGTATATCTTCGAAAATAAGAAATACTTTCACTGAAATGGTCTGTAAAGAAACGCAGCCGTTTAAAATCTAATTGGTTCCATCTAAGTACGCCGCAAAAATGAATCATAGCAATAAGCACAGCCGTCAAAATATTACACATTAACAATTTGTTTAGTGCTTACAGCAAAAAGTTCGAAAGGCATCGGAATCTTGGTGAATTTTTGCAAACGTGGAGCAATATGATTCTTACACATGAACAAAACAATGATCGTTGTGAAGGATGTTATTGTTGTAGCAATATTTGCATTTGGTAGTTGCTTGATCAAATCGTGCAGCATCTAAATAAAAAACCACTTTTCGATATTTCTCTTCTTATTTTGTACATTATTATTATTATTATTATTATCACGGTTATCGGGAAAGTATTTTGGTCAATCAAAACTCACATAAAACAGTCGTGCAAAACCATCGTAACGCGGAAGAGGAATACCGAAGATTTTATTCAGTTGTGCAATCAAAACGTGCACAGCTGCGCCGGTTGTGAAGCCCCTCATAACTTGTTCAGACATATAAGCCGTAAGGAAATCAAGTCGTAAAATGGCCATTGCTATCTTCAAATTAAGAAATTTAAAATAGATTGACAATGTTTAATGATTGAAGGCTTATCACTGAAGCATACAAAGAAAAATATCTGATCCGTGCAATACACAGATCTTCATAAAAGCTAAGCACTTCGAACAACAACAGCAAAACAACATTCGGTTTATAGATTGAATGTAAAGTGGTTGACTGCTATACGGTTCGGAGAAACGGCTGAATGTGAACAATAACGGATTTTCGTAAACTCTAGCAACATGTCGTAACATTCCTGATTGAGCTTTTCGGGTTAAATTCGGACGCACGTGCGACCTTTTCGAGACCTAATATTAACGGTGAAATAAAGAAGTTCAACAAACAAATACATACAAGAGAAGTAATCTTTCTTCTTTCTCACCTGAATTAAACCTACACATAATGTAAGCGCCGACACAATCTCAATTGACGTAACAGTCTGTAATGCTGCTACACCACCAATCGAATTGTCATCAGATATAATCGAAGCCGTGGAATTACTTGAATCGACGAACGCTGATGTTATATTATTTAACTGTTTTGTGAGTCGAATATTCGTGCTACCGACCATAAGACTCACGACAGCGAATACACCTAAACACAGGCATAATGTGTCACAGAAGGCATAATGTTATGAAATTCCAATTAGCAGCCTATCAAAGGTCGTAGAGCGAGATAAAATGTGGGAACTAATGAAATCCATTCGAAAGAATTAAGTTTTCATATTATAGCGGGAGCAGTATAATGTAAAAATACCCAGGGAGTTATGTCGTGATGTGCCGAAAATCATATAGATTAGAGCGGGAAAAAATGATGTGTAGAGGCCATTTACGGGATTTAGACCAGCTAAAGATGCATAAGCCATTCCTGAAAATCGGTAAAATTTCATGTTTTAGGACTGAGAGAGATAACGAAGCAGAATTCCTGATGCATATGAATATGGACCGCATAAAATTATTGATACGCACTGCAAACGATAATTATTTAGGAATATCTCAATGAATTGAGCGTTTGTGAAATAAATAACAAGCGAATTATGCCTAATTCACTGCTACTAATTAAAGATATAATTAAGGATGAAGAAGGGCCGAAAAGCTGAAGTAATGGTTGTCGTAGAGTGAGAAAAATTGGTGAAATGAAGAGGAGCAGAGATTATTTAAGATGACCTTGCGGAATATTCATAATGCCAACGGTTAAACCACCAATAATGTCGCAAACAAGATTCTCTCTACAGTTGTATTTGGGAAGCCATTTTAGAATCGGTATGAAATTTAGAATAGATAATGTGCAATTCGAAGGGACCCTTCGACAACGATCAACCACATCAAGAGCAAGTGCTTGTTTGGTGGTATTAGAACGATGGCGTTCAGTGAATAAACCGAATTCTTCGTCGAATATCACCTAAATTTCAAACTTACTTTATCATGATGCACTCTTGTTACTGTCTGCATTGTACAACAATTGATCACGTAAACAAGAATACTTTATTACAAACGTAATAATTCAACTATGAAAGCTAATGACATCAAACGAAAATCAGTACCTGATTCTTCACTACCTTATCATAGTAACCAGATTCCGCATTCTGTGAGTGACCGTGAACACAATCTTCATCTGATGGTGACCATTCACGGGCATTGCTGTTGCACGCCGGTTCTGGTGACCTCATGTTTAGCGTCCTTTACCATAGGATCGATTCTGAATGCCTTCATTATAACTAGATAGCACTGACCGTAATGTTTCCTATTCAGTATCGTCATTCGCATTCAAACCCATTCTAGTTAAGATTTAAGCAGGAAGAGAAATTTATATATA